TTTATGACTTCCCACAGAAAAAAAAGAAATATATATAAACCAGTCGGTCAGAAGCCCTCTAATTTTAGGATTAAAGAAACATTAAAAATCTACTTCACTTCAACGATTCCACAGAATAATTTATTTTTCCTTCACCAGCTCCAGTGTATCGGCCAGAGAGATCCACAAGAGGGCCGATAATCACCAGAAACCGTGCATAAACAACAACTACATACTGCTGAGCCAGAATGCGGGATGTTGCACTGGAAAAAAACGATCTAGAAATAATTAAAACTTCCTTAAATTAAGTGTATTTACCCTTTATTTGAGTAGGTAAATGAAATATTCTGCCAATGTAATCAGTATTTTTACTCTTAAAATAAGATAATTAGATAATAGTCACTTGAAAATAAACAATGCAATTGTGTTTTCTTGTTTTAAATCTAAATTTTCTTGTTCCGTTGGCAGAATGTCTCTTTTATCCCCTCAATTCAAGAACAAATGCACTTATTTTAAGAAAAAAATGACTTATCAAGATTTAGATTTTTTGCATTCTCAAAATCATATAAACTCAAACACCAAAAAATATCCAAAGTACCAAGTCTTACAATCTTAGACCGAGGTAAAAATCTTTCTAATCTTATTTAGAGATCTATATACTAAGCAAGATTTTGTTATTTTATTAATCTTTGGAGAATATTCTACTTAAGAAAAATAAAAACAGTAATTATCTGCCAGTAAAGTCACACATTTGAAATAGATTTTAGATGAATAATCAAACAGAATCCGCTCTTGCTCAGTATATATACTTTTACTAATTATATATCAATTTAAAAGAAAACTTTAGCTAGATCTAAAAGTGCAAAACCTGGTTTGAACTATACAGGACATGCATAAAGCCCCCCCCCCCCACTGCTCCAGATGCATCAAATGACAACAAGATGCTGTAAATGTTTGTAACAGATGCACATAGTGATCTCTAACAATGAGGAACTAATCATATATATAAATAAACACACGTAGCAAAACTAAGTATTTCAGCATTTTAAAAAATAAATCCTAACATGATACATGACAATTTTGACCAAAATGAAAATACAATATGAAAGCAAAAAAGTTAAAGTGCTTTTAACTTTTTCACTGCATCACTGCTGTAGTTCATCTGCCAGAAAAGGTTCCTTTCCTCCTCTCAGAGCTACGTTAAAAATTCTCTTTAAAGCCAACTAATCCAGAGTCTACGGCATTTTTCCAAAAACAACAATGCAATGAGGTAAACTAAACACCGCAGTGAACGAACGCGCATGTCCGGCGTCAATGCGCTGGGTTCACGTCCTGGTTCTGGTTCAGGTTGTTGTTGAGGTTGTGGAGCGCCTGGTGACGCTGGTGTCGGTGGAGGTGTATGGCGTTGGACTCGGGCACGTCGATGGGTCCGAACGTGCTGGCCACCAGAGGCATGAACTGGCGGAAGATGCTGACGCTGCCGTGCCAGAAGGTCTTCTGCGGGAGCCGCCCGGCCACGGTCCAGGTGCGGATGGCCGGATCGTACGCCTCCACCACGTCCGACAGCTCGAAGGTGTCGTCGTAACCCCCGGATACGAAGAGCTTCCCGCCCAGGACTGCTGCGCTTCCTCCGACGTGAACCTGAAATATTAAAAAAAGATTAAAATGGAATTAAGGCGATAACCCTAAATGGCAGAGCCGGACTGATTAATCGGGGAGCCGATTTGAGCGTCTGGCTCATTAATCGA